CTAATGTATCTTCAAACAAAGACAAAAGTCATAACCATGATTTTCAATTCGAGTATGACTCTATTGGTCGAACCAATTCTATCTAAACCTGAGTATCTCAGCGGGTGCCTAAGGCCCAGTTGGTTGTCTACTTAGGTTGGGTCAAAGTCGAGTTTGTTTATCTTAGTGGGAAATCCAACCGATTTAACCAATTGATTAGAGCAGCAACCACTTCAAAATGATGTTGTTTTCAACAATTCGTATACGTAGCTACACTGTCATATCATCCTTTTACTTATCACAGAACCCTACAACATGAAACATCACAGAACATGTTCGACTATCCCATCGTCTCTTCTTCTTACTTTAGATTTGAGAGCCTACAATACACGACCCAACCATCTCAAAAGCTATCATCATCCTGCAATAGCAAATTTTATTTTTCTCCAACTGCATAGTCATAGAGCCAGTCGACCTCATCTCATACAAAAAAAAAATTATTAAGAAACATCATTTGAGTTGAAACTTTAGGTAACTAACAAAGGCCAAATTCCTTATTTTAATTATTATTTAATACTTAATTAAATTCTTATATATCCTATAAATAGAGAATAACTTTAAAATCACGGTCCAAATATCATTGGTTCGAATATTCTATATCAAATTGCAATGTTGAATATGTAAAAGTGATGTATAATTCTTAAATTAATATTAATTTTTAGACCTACTATTACACAATCGTATTCATATCTTTGTGTAAACTATATGGGACTGGTTCTTTGAACATTTTAGTTCGGATAACTGTCAAATTTTAAACCTTTTCCTATTCAGACATGATTGGATCCAACAATCATTAGGAGTTTAATAAGTTGATTCATTTCACCTTTTTTTTAATATGCTGATGAATTTGTAGGGAAAATACATATCTTTATATACACTCTACACAATATATAATAATAAAATGAGAAAATTTTTGTCTCATTTCAAATTTCCTACAACGAAAACGAAAGTAGGAATTATATTTTTGCTTCATAATTATTTTACAGAAACTACAAACTTCCAAAATCCAGAAATTGTTGCTCAAACTAAAAATCAGAGCATCGAAAATCGATGTTCGCAAATTTTATTTCATATATCACTTATTTGAGAGATTTTTCTCTCTATAAACAAAGTAAAATGAAACAAGTCATAGCCAAATCAACATCTTTGGCTCGAAGATGATGATATGCTTCTTCGTGGGAGAAAGAAATACATGTGGTACTGTCAGAGATCTGGAGAGAAAAGACGAAAAGGATACACTACTAGTTCATGAATGAGTACTGTGAAATAGATCATCAAATCACGGGCTTGGGGCTGAATAAAATGATAGGAGGTTAGTTAGATAGCCGATGATATAGAATTTGCCAATTTAGTACATTTACAGGAGATCTCCGGAGTCGGCTTAGGAAACAAAGAATCGAAGGGGAAGAAAAAGATATAGCTTTTATTAACAACTAATTGATTGCATGGGGGTGGATAAACGATGCATTCATTTCTCTTTTCATTTAAAAAAAATAAAACAAAATAGTATCGTAAACTTTTTTGGTTTTCTATTCACCTTTTGAAGTTTGTTCTTTTGGGTTTCTATTTAAAGCTATTATTTTACTAAAATGATTTTATTTTTTCCAATGCTAATATTTTGACCAAAACATGTTAGTAAGTTAAATGATATATTAATTAAAATAATATAATATTCGCGCTCTTTCGGCGCACTCAAATTATAATTCTTGAAGAGCATACACTCTTACGCTCCGATTCGAGCTCCTGCTCCAGCTCCAGCTCCGCGAATTGGCAAGATAAATCCGTCAGGTCAATTCTGTTAACAAAGAAACTATTGGAAGAACTCGCCTTCCATCAAATATTGTCTTCCCTCGCAAACACCACATGCTCAATTTCCACTTGGTCGTTTGGACCTTTGATACGTTTTCATTATGGTTGACACAACTGGTTCAGATGAAAAAGGTGTCATTCCTCCAAATGGAGCCATAATTGGCAACCATAGTTCCTTTTACTTGAATCCCAAGGATTTATTCACCGCCGTTCTATAACAGTTACACAAATTCTGTATGCATTATCCAATTTTTAAAGATAAGATAATTGTTTTTTATGTATCAATTGAAAAAATATACGATGGATGGAAGTCTTCTATAATGATTGCTACATTATTTAAAGTTTACAGAGTGGTAGTTATTTCTCATGTATCCATTAAACAACGACCACTATAACAATTTTAATCAAATATGATACTTTTGGTAATTTGATTTTATTATTACCCAGGATATTACCGTAACGGCGTTCTATAACAGTAGCATAAATTACAAATATGTTACGTAAAATTTATGGAGGTCATGTAGTTGTTTCTTATCAATTAAACAAATATATTACTTACGTCTTTTTTAATATGATAAGAAACTACATAAAATTTATGAATTGATAATATGTATCGATTAAGTAAATATATTATGTAAATATATTTTATAAGGCCATGTTTGGTATTAGGATTCTCTAAATTTATGCATTTTAATCAATTAGATGTATTATTTCAATCTGTTAATTTGAAAAATACATTGTTTTGAAGATGAACGATTATTGTGGTTCCTCAAAAAATGAGACATGTCAATCTCAGATTTTACCTAAGATTGACAATCATCCATAATGAACCATTTTGGTGGTCTCATCTTATGCCCCAAGTACAAGTATTGCGTTTCATTTCAAGACAAAAATTACGAATTCTCCTATTTACATCTATTTTCTAAATACATCATCTAAAATCCCAACTTCCAAGCAATCCTAAACATACTACAAAGAACTTATGAGAATATTACATAAATAATATTACGAATCATTTGATTTCAACTAATTTATTAAATAAATGAATAAATATTTAAATATACACGAAGCTCAAATAAAAAATAAAAAACTAGTATGCCTTATTTGACAAGTATTCCGTCGCACGACTCTAATGCAACTGGTTTGAGAAATAAATTAAGCTCATATAATTCACGGAAATAAATCATTATTTTAAAGCGGTGACTAATAAGTAATAGCTTATCAACTAAATGCTATATAACGTGAGGTACTTATCAACTAGTATTCTGTCTGTCACGGGCCTAACTTAGATAGATAGATAGATAAAGATTAAAGGGCCTTGCCTTGCCTGGATTTCCCATTCTGAGCGGCCCCAAGTCAGGAGGGATTCCCGCGAGAGCAGGTCCATGAAACATGCAATGTATTATAGCTCCACTTGCGCACGATTATCGAAGGGTTTGACTTAACTATATTCATTTTTATTAATTTTGGTGTTACTATATTCTTGTGCTTATCAATGTTAGTGAAATCTAGAAACTAGAATGGTATCATACAAGATCGGAATAGTAACATTTTCTGATGTTTAAGTATTTTTATCGGCCAGGATCGCAATCTTATAGAGTGCATTACTTATATAATCAAATTTTGGACCCTTATTTTTAAATTGGTTTCAGATTTAACAATTATAAATTGAAAAATATTTATTTTTAGTTTTGTTAATCGGACGTTATCTTCTTCGTTTGAACTTGAATTTCAATTTTGTTTGCACAGATGGAACGAGTTTGTTGTGATATACAAAATGAGATTCGTTTTCAATATTTTGAGAAAAAAATTTCATACTTCTCGTTACCAACTCCATTCCATATTGTAAGACTTTAGTTTTTAAATATTTTCTTAAAATATTTGCACGGAAGGAATGAGTTCATCATGATCTATTAGATCTACAAAGTTCTTGAGGGTAAAAATACAGGATAAAAAAAATACCATCACATATCACCCTGGTATAGGGAGGTAATTGGTGGTAAACAATGCTGAATGTAGTAAATGACAGTTGGCATAATCCTAATATCATGTATTCAACCATCCTACAGTCTCGTATGTTCATACCACCATGATACACTTTTATACTATATGATAAGCTCTTATTTAATGCCAATCAATACCATATGGTATAGACTGGTAATAAATGTCGCAATTTTTTTGTTCTAAAAATATATCAAAGTGATTATCATTTTGAAGGACACAATCGATCTAATTTATCTGAGCAAAAAAATAAATTAAATTCCAACTAAAAACGAGAGAAAGATTGTCCTTTAAAAAATCAAAGGGGAGAATGTTAGATGCCTTTCATATAAGTTGTAGAGACACTGATGTGGCGGCTGCAAGTTGGGTTATTCACTGTTACTCAGCATAGATTTACCCACCTAATCCGCTCCCTGATCAGAACAGCCAATAGAAGGCCGCGTAAAATTGGAATATAATATATTTCCATTCACAACAGAAGATCAAAGAATCCATTAAAAACTAGCTACGATCGAATTCGAAATGAGTAAACTAGATATTCAGGGGGCAGTCCACATCTGGGGATGAGCTGGAGTACTAGTTGTGGCCTAAAACGATCGAATTTTGTAACAATCACGTGACATATAACATGGCCATTCATGTTTCTAGCTTGTACCTCCACCGCTCCACAGCTTAGCTTGCTTCTCCGTTCGAAATTCTAATCTTTTCCCTCCATTCCTCATTAATAATTGCTTATAGTCTTCATTAATGAGTTAATGATGCATTAGTCTATATATGTACCGTGTGTCATTTTGGCCAGAAAGTTAGATCCGTACAACATATGAGAAAGCAGCATGCATGACACCTAAATAATTATTGTTGAATGACTAAAAACATTTAAGGATCAATTGATATTTTGTAAAATCATGTTAAAGTCGTGATTCTTAAAAAAGTGTTTAGTGTGAACAAAATGCCATCAACCCACACAAAATTAATCTCATAATCGTTAATTAGTTAATTAACTTGATTGATCTCCATCCCCCAATCTCGATCTGCAGACTTAATCACCTGACTTCACCTGCCACCTTCTCTTTTCACCTATAAAAAGCAAAACCGAAAAACTATTCTTCCACCAACAACAATAATTTTCTACAATGGAGTCCTCCCCAAAAATGATTCCACTCACTATTCTCCTCCTCGCATCCCTCCTCTTCCCAAGCCCCTCCGCCGCCGCCGCCGCGACCACCACCGCCGCCGCCACCCGCAAGTACAAAACCTACCTGAAAACCGCCTGCGCCGACGCCACGTACCCAAAAGTCTGCTACACCTCCCTCGCACCTTACACCTCCGCCATCAAGACCGACGACTTCAAGCTCTGCTCCGCCGCGCTCTCCGTCACCCTCCAAGCCGTCAGGGACACGTCATCGCTGGTGTCGCGGCTGCGGAAGCGGGAGGGGCTGGGCAAAGGCGACGTGGCGGTGCTGAAGGACTGCGCCGAGGAGATCCAGGACGCGGTCGACGAGCTGAAGCAGACGGCCAAGGTGGTGAGCCGGCTGAAGAGAGGGACCGCCGCCGGCCGTGAGTTGGATATTGCCAACATACGGACGTGGCTCAGCGCGGCGATCACGGACGAGACAACTTGCACCGACGTGTTCGACGGCGGGGATGTGAGCGCGGCGGTGAAGGGTCCGATTTGGAAGAGCATTAAGAAGGTTGGGAGGTTGACTAGCAACGGTTTGGCCCTCGTTGACAAACTGGCGTATTGAAAAAAAAAAATAATAGTAGTTCGTTGACAAGATCTGGTTCATTAATTAGCTTGTTTAGTTTCACTAGTGAACATGTGATCGTCTATTGTCTTTTTTTTTTCCTTTTTTTTCAAGAGTGTTTTTTGGTTTTTTGTTTTGCGTTGATAACATGTTCATGTTGAATCTTGACAATATTAAATCCTAGGGTTAATAGATCGGGATCGATCTGGGTTGGAAGCTACGGGTTACAATAGGATAATATGTTCTCTACAAGCTTAATATAAGTAATTACGTGTATTTTGGTAATCGATAAGCCTCTTCACCGTCAAGATAACCACAATGATCAGCCTTCGCGCTACCGCACAACTGGTTGTCAGTCGAAGCTTTCAATTATATTCTATTGTATTTCTTGCCTCCTTCTCATTCGGCTCTCTAGTTCCATTCGACGAAAAACCTTGCTTCGTCACGATTCAAGACCCCAAAGCTCGCTTCGTCGGACTCTTAATGTGAGAAACACGGATCGTTCGGACAGAAATTGGGGATGAGATTAGAAGAATTAGGGTTGTGAATTGGGAATTTAGAAGAATTGGGATGAGAATTGAGAGATAGAAGAGGGATTAGGGATTTAGAGTTTCTGATATTATTATTGCTTAATCGAAATAACAAGTGTTGTTGCTTAAATAGTTCTCTCCCCAACAACCAATAAATGGCAAAAATACCCTCCCTAGGCCGGTTCAGCCCCTGCGTCCGTGCTGCTCACACTTAATTACGATCTCCTTTAGAAATTCGGATCTAGGAGATTTGTGGCTTACATTGTGTTTACAGCTTTTGGTGTACTTTATAGTATTTTCAAGTTCGCTTCATGAGATCTATAGTGTGGTTTCTCTGTCTTTCTGATTTGCTTCATGAGAGTTGTGTGGTTTCACATATTTCTTGTTGCTTCATGATGTTTATGGCCTATAGCAGGAGTTTTCTAGTATGTTTTAGAAAATTTGTGGTCAACTTTGAATTTTTTTGGGCCCCTTCGAAAAATTGTACCATTTATGAGTTTTGTGGAGTGGGTTGACATCTTTATTAGTTTTCTGATATACTTCTTGACAGTTATGGTAAGATTTATGAAGTTTCTCATTTACATTATTATAAGTTTTGCCGTAGTTAGTTTTGTACTAATTGAAGTGTTATTAAAATCGAACCGAGCCGGTCGTCCCGACCGATAAAATGGCTACCCGGCCACCAACTCGGCTCGGAAGAGTAAAAAAACCGTGACAGCTCTTTGTAGCGATCGACGAGCGGTCGAGGCGGTTAACCGCTCGGGCCGCTAGCCCGGTTTCCTCCCTAAGACCGTTTGTAGCTCCTAATCTCCCACTTCTTTCGCCGTTCCAATGGAAAAAGCTACTTCTGTCTCATTTATAGCTTCATGGAATCTTGAAAACCAACAAGTATTAATATGGTAGAAGTCTTTTCTCTAGTTTAGTGTGGAAAATTGGAGACCGGGATGCACATGGTGGCGTGGATTCATAGCCCTGGGAATTGAAATTATCACCCAACTCCCTCCTACGTTGGAATTATGAATTACAATTAATAAGGTTTTCAATTATTTTGGTTTTAAATTTGGAGTAATCGATATTTTAGGGGACGGAGAATTGAGGTGTTCGCAAAAAATCAAACATGAGGTAGTTATGATTCTTATTAGTTTGTAGTTTTTCATGTATTATTTTTTAATATTCTTATTTGGGTTAATTGCAAGTTTGGTCACTAGAATTGCTTAAAAATTTCATATTTGCCACTAGAATTACTTTATTCCATCCGTAGTCACTTAAATTAGCTCATCAGTTCAAGTTTGGTCACTCTCTGTTAGTCTCCGTTAACTTTAACTGACGTGGCAGTCAACTCTGAGAGTTGACCGTTAAACGTATGACGTGGCAATTAAAAAATAATAAAATAATAAAATTTAATATTTTTAATTTTCCACCTCATTAAATGGCGGATGAACCCTGTTACTCCAATGTCGTTCCTCGATTACATGGCGAGGCGATTGGGACTTAAGGACTATCTCTACTTGCAGTTCGTCAGTCGAGTGTTTTTAGTCCCACCGTGAACTCGTATGAAACTCTGCTTCTTTGTTTGACTTTTTGTTCGTTTTTTCTTCTTCCAGATTCTAGGTCATTGTGTTATGCACCATCTGTAGTGGCCGTGACTGCAATGCTTCATGTCATCAATGGCGTGGAGCCATCTCTTGGGGCCGAATACCAACACCAGTTGCTAGACATTCTCGGAATCGGCGAGGTATTTTCAATTTTGTCCATAAAAAGAAGCAGCAAAAATCTAGTCGTTTACAATGAGTTAGATATCATAATCTAAAGCAGATTTCGTGAATCCTTGTGATGACAGGAGAAGCTAAATGGTTGCAGTATACTGGTTATGGAATTGGTATAATTTGGAATCCAAAATGGAAGCCAATGGAAGAAGCGAAGGAAGTTGGATTCGATTCCAAGAAGCCCCAATGGGGTAATGGATTTGAGCTTCAGCTCCGATTGCTCAGACGACTCTGCATCTTCTTATGTGTCTTCTTCTCCAGAGCCCCATCGGGCGGAAAAGAGCAGAGTTGCACTGCAGGGTTCCATCATCATTCCTCCCTATACTTAAAAGGGTCACAATCTGATTCCCTCTTGCACTCCTTCCTAGCTCTATAGCTAAATTTCCATGGCTGAGAATAAGGGTTCCCAGATGTTGGGTTTAAGTTATGATGTTCTTCCTCAAGTTTAAATTGCCTACTATCTCTGCTTTGCTACTGGGACGGGAAATGTTGTTGGAATATTTAGGAAGAAGCAATGGCAAAGCAGAGATGGTTGGCATTTTATCCGACCGGGAATCCGGGATGGGGAAGAATATGGAAATCCAAGTGCATTGAACAATGCGACTGCAGGAGCAGTGAACAATTCAAGCTTTAATGTTCCAGAGCTCTTCCCTTCTCCTTTAACTAATTGCCGCCGATTTCCACTTCTGCAGCGAGAAGGAAAAAATGAATTATAATTTGTAATTATAATGATATTTTGTTTTATGTATTTTTTATTATATTGTGATAATGAGGTGGCACTTTTAAAATATTGAGTTTTAATTTTTTTAAATTTTTTAATTGCCATGTCACTTATTTAACGGTCAACTCTCAGAGTTGACTGCCACGTCAGTCAAAGTTAACGGAGAGTGACCAAACTTGAACTGATGAACTAATTTAAGTGACTACGGCTGGAATAAAGTAATTCTAGTGGCAAATATGAAAATTTTGAGCAATTCCAGTGACCAAACATGCAATTAAGCCATTCTTATTTATTAGGTATCGGTTCTTTAACGTTTTTTTAATACCGGTTAAACCAATAAAATGCAAACCGTTTATCATATCGGTTCATCCTCCGGTTCGGTTATGACAAAATTGACTAATTGTATTTGGTAAATCTACAAAATATAAAAATGAAGTAGTACTCTCAAACCAGGGGAATTCTATTGTGACGCTACGACACTAGTGTCGCACAAATTTTTGTTTTTTTATAAAGGGTATAGCAAGTTTTGGTTTTACGGGAAACAACAGGTTTTGGTTTTAAACAGCAGGTTTTGTTTGGACTTTGTTACGGTGACTTGTACGTTGCGTTCGACCTAAGTTAGGATTAGGTCGACTTAATATGTTGTTTCAGTGTAAAAACAGTTTCATGGTGCCTACTTTGGAGATTCATATCTTACAATTGGCTCAATGGAAATTAGATATTAATAGCTTGTTTTGAAGCTGGAATGTCCCTCTACCAAGGTTGTCAAACCGGTTTATACCAGTGTGCCGGTTTAGCAAGTGGAATGGTTCGACCGGCGGCACATACCGGTTTGTACCGGTTCATGCCGGTCAATATTACAAATAAAATTATAAATTCTCATATTTAAACATGACATTTAACGTCAATACTTAGACATTTATACTTGAATCCAACAAATAACATCAATATTTAACTTTTATACTCATAAAACAAATAATAAAATTATTTTTATCAATTAAACTCACTAAAATAAGGTCATTTTACTTAGAGATTCGTATATCGATCATGCCGGTCATACCAGTAGTGTCACGCCGGTTTTACGACCGGTATCGGTTGAACCAGGTTCAATCGGTGGCACGCCGGCCGGCGTGACAACCCTGCCCTCTACACATTGAAGTATTTGGGAGCTCGATAGGAAGTACGAAAGACCAATTTTGAACCTGATAAAAGGCTATGCCAAAACTGGGAAACTGCCTGAAAATGGCTAAGTCTTGGAACGTATTTGTGAAGTCTAATTTGGAGCTCAATTCGAGAAGCATAGATGATAGTCCAGTACAGGGGCCTCTACCAAATGAAAGTATGTAAGTTTGTCTACAAGCGCAAGGCATTGGATGAAATATTGGATATCTGGAAGGCTTCAAACAAAAGGCTCGAAGTTGCTACAAAGGCTATTTTTCTGGCAGCTTGCTTGTGCTAGAAGGCAGCTTACTTCGTAGCAAATTCGAGCCTTTTGTTTGAAGCCTTTCATATATCCAATCTTCCATCAAATGCCTTGCCTTTGTAGACAAACATACCTACTTTCATTTTGTAGAGGCCCCTGGACTCGAATCTCATCCGTATCTCTCCAGTTGAGCTCCAAAGTAGTCTTCCCAAACACGTTCCGAGACTTGAGCCATTTTCGGGCAGTTTCCCAGTTTTGGCATAGCCTTTTGATCAGGTTCAAAATTGGTCTTTTGTACTTCCTATCGAGCTCTCAAGCACTTCAATGTGTAGAGGGACACTCCATCTTCAAAACAAGCTATTAATCTCCAATTGTCATTTAGCCAATTGTAAGATATGAATCTCCAAAGTAGGCACCATGAAACTATTTTCACACTGAAACAACAGATTAGGTCGACCTAATCCTAACCAAGTCGACCTAATCCTAACTGAGGTCAACCGAAAAATGCAAGTTACGTTGACATGCAAGGCACCATAGGCACACTGGTTTTGTTTTTATGGAAAAAAAAAATATTTTACCATTGATACAGCTAATGTGATAAAGAAAGAGGTCTCATTAATCATCATAATTATTTTTCTCAAGTCACGTAAGTCATGTAAAAAATTGCTAAAGGTCTTTTGGTATACTTTTTTTAATCTTTGAATTGATGAAATTAATCTAAAAACGTTTGGCGATACAAATATATATATATAGGTGATTACTTGGCGCACTCACAAAAATGAGTGCGTTCAATGCAGCCAACTCAAAAACTAGTCTTAAGGAGTCAGATTTTGAATTTTAATTTGTAGAATTAGTATAATATGATGATATAACATATGATAACAACTAATTAGCGGATTACCCTAAGCCCTAGACCTCCAATTTTGAGTTCTATCCCTAAACCCCAAACTGTAAACCCTAACCCTAACCCTAGATCTTTAAACTCTAAATCCTTCAAATTAAAGCAAATCTTTCATGGTTTTTGTGCAAATTCATGTGCGTTATTGTTTATCACATCATAAGTGATGATTGACATCATTTTGACATAAATCTCATGTTTAAAATGACGATTATGAAGCGAGTGCACTGAATGCACCCAAAAAAATGAGTGCACCAAAAACGCCACTATATATATATATATATATATATATATATATGGCAAAGGCTAGCGTACACTTGATGTACACTGTATGCCTGTGTTCATACTTATTGATTAATGTAGTCCCCCAACAATTTTTATCCTTCGTTATTATTGAATCAATCATTCCTTTGACACATTAAATCAATCCTTTAAGTGTTGGTCGATCATTCTATAATTATAGTACTGCCTTTCTCCAAATAGCAAACCTCAAATTAAATTATAGAACTTACTTTCTCCAAATTCCAAATCATAGTCTGAAAATCCTAGTCTCATTAAGAATGATAAACATCAACGGTAAGATGATTATATCTCTAACATGATTTATTGCTCGGGTATATGAACGATGAAAGGGTCCATGCTCACTCTGTGTGCGTTCCGGGGTTACAGAGCTATGTTATATGCAGTATTAAGCCACCTTCACTCACCTAGTATGTATTGATTTATAAATCAATGTTCTTTTATAAGATAGAAATCTAAACATTTTTGCCAATGATGGCAGTGAGACCACCTGCACAAGCTTAATCAAAATTCAAATAACCATGACAGCTGCATCCAAATCCAATCATCTATTCATTGAAGGCTTCGCCCTTATTCAAATTGGCCTTTGATGGGAGCAGGGAGCAACGAAGGAAAAATTCTGTCTTTGCAGAAGCCGGGATGTGAGTCAGTACCGACGATGGTGAATATATGTTTGACCTAGAAACCCCTCTCTGCATTCCCATTTGTAATCACTACCGGGAGTATGTTATTCCCAAATGTCCTAAAATTTCCAAGATTCTAGACTACATTCAGATTTGATATCCGATCCCAGCATCAGCGACCGTCCATGCCCAAAGGTACTCTTGCGTTCTTCAAAGCTCCTAGCTTCGTTATCACCACCCAACGGCGAGAACTGAATATTCCACTGCTCCGAAGCTGTGGCTCGTACCGCAGGGGACCCGTAGTGGGTGGAGGCGCAACACATTCCGGGATCTTGTTGATGATTGTTCAGGATTTGAATCTTCATCCAATTACGTCTTTTAATTTTGATCTACCAATTCTCAGTCTGTTTCACACAAACTCATATTGGTCGACTTCCTTCTCCCTGATTACGATCAAAGCACTCCCTGCAAATGAGATAAGTGAAATAGGATATTATAACCTATAAGTTAAAAATTAGGTGAAAATGAATATGTTATTTGATTTTGGGGGGTGTATTGTAATTTTATTATAATTAATTAATTAATTAAAATTAGTAAATAATTAATATGTGTGAACACATGTGTATAGCGTACACCGGGTGTACGCTAGTATGAACCATATATATACTTAATTGGGGGAGTTCTACGGTACCTGGGGTACAACATACCTTGAGTATGAAAATGCTATCCAGACCTTGAATTGACTAATCTTTCGAACATGATACTATACTCTAACCCTTAAAAATCAAAATCTAGGTCTTAATTCTAATATTATATCTTAAGATCAATTTAATTAGAAACAATAATCGATTGCTATGATTCGTCCAAATATAGGCAAAAAATGAATGCACCATCTTAGGGTTTATAGTTTATGATTTATATAATTAGGACCAAGGGTTCACTCGTTAAGGGTTAGAGTATAATATCAGGCCCAAAAATCCTGCTAATTTGATGTCAAGATTGCGTTTTCATACTCAAAGTATGCGGTACCCCAGATTTCACCCTTAAACTACATATACACAAGTTGTGATATTATTCGCAAAATTTTAGAATATTTTGAAAATTTAGGACTTTGCTACTATGGGTTGGACAAAATAGTCTACTGCTTTCTCAAAAAGAAAAAAAAAAAGGATAGATTATTGTTTCTATTTTCTTAGGTGACTTGCATCTTCAATTTTATCATATGAAAATTTTCATCTTTGCACGCGTCCACTCCATTTAGATCTGGCGAAATTACTACCCGACCCCGCCCGAAAATAGAAGTTTTTATAACGCGAAATCCAAATGACCCAAACCCGATTAACCCGTGATTTTTTGGGTCGGGTTGGGTGGGTTAGCGAGTTGACCCGTTAGACCCGTTCCATTTTATATGTCATTCCCAAAATGATAAAATCACTCATAAATTGGGGTGATGTTTAAAAAAGTTCAACAAGAATTTGAAAGACATGTTTGGAGTTTAAGGATAATCAAATAGTATATGTTTTTTGTACTAGTTTTACCCTTGTGATTATTTTTTGACGATTTAAATAATTTGTATTTCATTTCATTAGCATGGGAGGATTGCAGAATATGTTCATTGGCATGTTGTTCATCTGGTTCAATACCCAGCCGTGAAAAAATGTTTGGTTCATCTCTAATCATTCAATCAAATAGATCTAACCACTATTGTAAATGATTTGACGATTCTGGTAGTGCTAGTGCAGTCGTTGACCGGTCAGGTTCTTATAACAAGATTGGTACCAACTAAAGCTGCCTATAATTTGTATGCATATACCTCCAAAACATTTTTCATAACTGGGCAGCCCATTAGTGAGATATTGTCCGCTTTGGGACAAGTCTGCACGATTGTAGTGGTATTTGGATTATTCTCATAACAATCCTCCTCTCAAGCCAAGGACCACGAACTTCGTTTCCTCCCCGCATCGATTACCTTGATCGGCCAGACACCTTGTATCGATGGGCTTCTCGCTACAAGGTTTTTTACAGACGCGAAACTCTCTTTGATCCACCAAACAAACGTGGATCTCTCCTAGATCCACCAGACAGACGCGGACCTCCCTTGATCAGCAAAACCAGATGTAGGCCACTTGTCGAACCAGGCAGCTCAATTAGTACGATATTGTCCGCTTTGGGCCAAACCCGCATAGATTTACTCTTGGGTGTCCTCCCCAGGTCCAGCGCCTCGAACCGAACCAAACTCTGATACCACTTTTCTTAAAAGGGCAGGCCATTAATACGATATTGTTCACTTTAGGCCAAACCCGCACAATTTTACTTTTATATGTCCTCTCCAAAAGGCCTCATACTAATAAGTTTGGTGGACACTAATATACTACGTTAATTTTCAACTCCTTCCAGTTACCTTCTCAAAATACCCATTTCGAGCAACTAGCGAGAATTTAATTTGCTAGCTAACCGGTCGTTATGGTAGCTGTACGCAGCAGCACTTACAAGTTACAGGGTCGGCGGTGATATATCGTTCTTTAAGGACTCACAACCGTTGATGCTACCGTCCCCACTCCTAAGTTCTCTCTGATTATCATGGTGTTGACTCAACGCTCATATTTCCTGGTTCATTCGCTACGGTGGCAAATAGGATCTCAATAAGCTTCCAAAGCCACTATTTAAGACTGTGAAAGTGGAATATTCAAACGCCATAATAACATATTCCAAAATGGAATGGGACACTTGACGAATTCGTTGCCCTCCAACATGCCGACTACTTGCATTCAACATAAGTACTCGTTGCATATTCATCATAATCAGTAAATGTGACTCTTTAATATGTCAAAGAAATCGACTTTATAAATTCCCTCGATAATCCATCGTATCAATTATGATTTTCATGTAATTAACTAGTGAACTTATTGTTAGAGAGAGTAATATAAAATCATAATTAACATCCTCTCAAGTCTCAACAACTTGAGTTATTAGAGCCAATTGATTTATGAGATGATATCTGAGCTGGTTTGACCAAATGGTCATATCTTCAAATCTCCACAACACAACTTCCAATATTAATGATTTTTCTAAGCACATGGTATGATTATCCTGTGCAAATTTCAAGCTCGTGATGGGTTGACGGTTTTCATCTAAGAGACATGTTGTAGAGTAATATAAGATTCATATATAACCTTTTTTCAATCAATTTTGGGTTATTGGGATCAAATAGTCCTTGACATGACTTATTTACAACTATTTTAATTCTCAGGCCCGACCTAGAAGGTGTGCCAAGCGGCCCTCCGGTAGAGGGCCTCCGATTATTAGGGGCCTCCACTGAGATCTTTTAGTTAACCCGATCATATATTGTAGGTTGTATTTGTAGTGTATGATTAATTGATTATAAATATGATATCGAGTTTAATTATATTAATTAATATATATTAGTGTTAGCCATTGGTTAATATTTTCATATATATATACACTAGACACTTATATTGATTGTTAAAGTATTGTTTGTGTTTCCAATATCCTATTTGTATTAAAAATATAATGCAAGAACACTTTAATTGAATAACCAAGATAACAATTGAAATTATTCCATGGAGAATACCAAAATTGAAGACATAATAGATAAGTTTATTTTAACCAATGTTAGAAAGATTTTACATTTTAAATAATTATGATATAATCATTTTAATTTTATTATAGTTAAAAATCAACATTGGCAACATCTCAATTTTGAAACAGGATCTGCACGATCCATTAGACGGTCCTCGTTAATTCTTCATTAGCAAAACATGTAGTATTTTTTATTTTGGGTTCCAAAAAAAAAACAATGGCTGCCTCTGATTAAGGAACTTGCTTCGTTGGGTTCTCTACCGACTACAGGTCAAAAAGACCTTTGCTGTCACACTGAAAATGTCCAACTACCATTGTATTAAACAGAGCACAAGACCAGAGTACATATCTTATACATGAAACGGCCACAAAAACCTACACAAAATTCCATGTTTACGTTACATATTAGAGAGAGTGAACTAACAACACAAGGAAAAACCGGATCCAAAACCTCGCACCGACCTGACGATCGATCCAAACCCGCGGCGCGTTTTTCAGTGACCGCCATACTTGTTCACCAAAGCCAGAGCATTACTAATAAACTGGGCCGCATTCGTGAACCGGGCCTTGATCCCACTCTTCATCCTCCCGTTCAACGCCTTCCCGGCGAACCCGTCAACACAAGTATTCGCGTCGGTCAACGCGGCGCTGACCCAGGTCGCCACGTTGCCGAAGTGCCACTCGAACCGGGGCCCGCTCCTCTTCTCCCCCATGGCTTTCATCTCCCTGATCGACTTGCCGAGCCGGTCCACGGTGTCGCCGATCTCCTCGACGCAGTCACGGATCGCGGCCTTCTCCCTGGGCCTGAGCCCGTCGAACCGGGCCAGGGCCCGGACGTAGGATCTCGTGGACTGGGCCCGGGACAGGCTGACGGCGAGGGCGGCCTGGGCCAGCTGCTTTGGGCTCCGCTGGATGGTGGGCGCGTAGGAGAGGAGGGACTGCACGCAAAGGGCCGGGTAGGTTGTGGCGCTGCAGGAGGATTTTATGAAGCTGGCTGCCGCCGCCGCCGCCGCGCTGGATCTCGGGTTGGCTGGTGCTGCCGCTGCTGCCGCCGTGGAAATGGTGGCGCAGAGGAGGAGTAGGGAAGTGAAGAGCAGTTTGGTCATGGCTGGCTTGTTTGGGCTGGAAGGAGAGAAATTGTGAATTTAGAGAGGAATGAGTAATAAGATCGAAGTTCGTGGTTTTAAGGTGTGATTTTGTGGGGTATTGCCGAGTGGTGCTAATGTGAACCGGGTGCGAAAGATGAAATGTGACTCTGTCACAGTGCCTTTTTCCCCCTTTTTAGACTGCGAGAGGAAGACCGCCAGTCACATAAGGCTATGATATTATGTTAAGAATCAATTGATTTCAATAATTCGAATTGTTGGAAAAGGTTCAATTTCGGGTCAGATATCATTTACTAACAGTAGGTAAAGTCGTAAAAATTCGGCTCATATTGGGGGGTCTTAATCAAGATGAGGTTGAAGTGTACGCCAGAATAACTCAAATACAAAATTGATAATTGACAAAATTAATACAAGATAGTTTATGTGCAACATAATTATTGATGAAAGAGATTGTTCCGCCACTAAATCAACAGCTTCGAGAAAGTTTTGAAGAATATGATGATACGAACGAAGCGAGAAAGATCTAGAAAATTATATGGACTTTATCAAGAAGAACATACGAGGTTGGATATTATAGAATTTGTGTTTCAGGGTGGAATAATCGGATTAGATCAAGTACACTTTATTTTGGTTTTAGTATTCTAAATTATTATCAATATAGAGGTGATGCTTGTTATTATTCTGTTATCTTGTTTAATAATTATTGGATTTGGAATTTTTTATCTTTTGGGATATTTGTGTTGTAATTAACAATGTTGAGTCAAATTTATTTACTGTTGGGAATAAGCACCTAGTTTTTTATGAGTAAGTTATCCAATTCTTACTGGATTGGTGAGGGATTGGGGTTTTAGAATTCAGTTACAAATATGTACTTTTATCTTATAGTTTCATCAGTGATTGAGAAAACCCCTAATTATATACTTATCTTTGTTTCTTTAGTAATTTTTGTAGAATTTTTTTATATATGTCATTTTGTAATTTAAGATGCGCGTACATTCATAAAAACTTACGAAAAAAGTATACCAAAATTATAATTAAACCGGATCAAATTAATACAAATGAACACATAACATTTTTTAGTTTTTATCCAATTGTAATTTCTGATTTGTCCTTGTTTATGATTGAACTCTATTATGTTTTTTTTTTTTTTTTACGAATAACTCTATTATGTAGTTACCCGAAAAAACTCTATTATGATTTATGCAGTATGTACCGAATGGATCGATGCAGGAATTTAATGGATTAGGCTCTTGGATTCAGTGGAGGGGGGACCTGCCCTTTTACTTTTGGTATACCGACATCAATGGGAAATCAAAATGTTAGATTTTGGAAGCTTTTTTTAAGTGCAAATGGGAGACCAGACCACTGTCTGTCTGCGTTCTAATTACTTTTGAATGCTTATATAATAATCATTAATCACAGGCATGCTTGATTACTTAATTGTTTGATGGAAGACCAGTATCTGAGTTTATTGCAAATATTAGTGCCGTAATTAAGGACACGTGAAGACATAGATATGATACACGTTTCTTAAAGCTGGCCTAACCTAACTTTCTTAGGGGGTCCCCAAGCATCGATTTGGAGAACATGACAAGAACACAAACACAAGTACAATAGAACACGAGGCACCGGATTTACGTGGTTTCCTTGACAGGTATCGTCAAGACTAGTCCACGGCACAAGGCATAGTTCAATCTTATTTACGTTAATGTTACCTAGGTCGGCCATCAACATGAACTATATATACTTGGCCGACCCGCAACCCTAACTCCTTACGCGACAATGCTATGTACATAGTACCTACACTTCTAACACCCTCCCTCAAATTGATGTTGTCGCAACATCAATTTGTGTGCTAGAAACCAATGTCGTGTAGTAGATCCTGCTTTTGTCAAGAGGTCAGTTGTCTTGTCTTTAGAAGTAATATAGTTGAGCTCCACAGACCCTTCGGCTACAAGCTGACGAACATAATGTATGTGTACCTCAATGTGCTTCGTCCTGTCGTGTAACACGGGATTGGTTGCAATCCGAATTGCACTCGTATAACCAACATATGGTCGCGTAGGGACCTGACAAGTGAATCCAAGTTCTGCTAACATCCGCCTCAACCACACATTCTCTGACGTGACTTCACTCATGGACCGATACTCAGCTTCTGTTGATGACTTAGAGACTCTATCCTGCTTCTTGCACCGCCAAGATATAAATGAGTTACCAACCTTGATGCACCAACCGGAGGTAGATCGACGTGTATCCTGGCAGCCACCATGTCATCCACATAGATCAAGAGAACAATAAGACCACCACTGGTTGATCAGAGAAAGAGTTACAGGTCATTCTCACTCTGCACCAGACCCGCCTGCACAATAGTGTCCTGAAATTTCTCGAACCAAGCCCGAGGAGCTTGCTTCAGACCATATAGAGAGCGGCGTAAACGACATACCATGGAATCATCACCTCGTGTATAGCCAGGTGGTCGTTCCATGTATATAGTCTCCTTCAGATCTCCGTGCAGGAATGCATTCTTCACATCTAACTGCAGTAATGGCCATTTCTTTATAGCAGCAACCGCCAATAAACTCCACACAGTCTGCATCTTAGCCACAGGCGCAAAATTTCCTCATAATCAACGCCATACTATTGACGGAAGCCCTATGCTACTAGCCGAGCCTTCTCTCTTTGCACTATGCCCTCCGCAGCATCTTGAGGGAGTAAACCCACTTGCTTCCGATAACAGACATACCAGGTTCTCGTGCAACTAAATCCCAAGTATCTTTTGCCTCCAAGGCGTCTTTTTCGGCATTCATTGCCTTCTCCCAACATGCAATACCACGCGCCTGCTTATACGATGCAGGAACATAAAAAGTTTGTATAGAGAAGGCAAGGAAGTCAGAATGACTAGCTGGGGGTTGTCCCGAGTAACTCGCGTTGACCGTCGAAGCACCGGGTCCTCATTATTATCACCCAGCTCAAAGGAAATGGTGTCCACGGATGAAGGTGACGTAGAGGATCCTAAAGATGATTTTGAGGACGTGGGTGACATACTTGGTGAGATGTCATGCATGGAATGCATGGAGTAGCTCGACGTTGGCGAGGATGAGTTACCTAATGATAATGATAAAGAGCTAGGAGAGTTAGTGCCACTATCATCTCCAAAATCATCATGATTTCATGGACCAGTATCGTGCGCAAGTGCAAGGGGCGGAGTCTCCATCAAAAAATCCAGATCCAACTCAGCAGCAGGAGTCTCGGCACCATAATATGATAAGTGTTCAAGAAACTTCACATGGCACGATATCTGAATCCGTCGTTTGGCTACATCATAGCAAACATAGCCTTTGTGCTTATCACTATAGCCGAGAAACAAACACTTGACTGCTTTCTAAGTGAGATTAGTTCTCTCCCGTCGAGACACGAGAACATAGCATACACAGCCAAACACACGCAACCATCCATAATCCAGGATACGAGAATACAACGCTTGATATGGACACCGTTGCTGCAAGATTGGAGTAATCTGTCTGTTGATCAAATAGACTACCGTATGTACAACTTTCACCCAGAACCCGGACGGAACCTGCGAGTGAAATAACAGTGCTCTGGTAAGCTCCAGAACATGACGATGCTTCCGTTCAACTAGTTCGTTCTGTTGAGACACTCCTGGGCATGATTGTTGGGGAAGGATGCCACGTTCCTCAAACAGTTCCATATGTGGGTTCGAAGAAAATTCGCCACCCGGTTTAGATCGCAGGATCTTTATTACCCTTCCAAATTGAGTAGACACCATTTGCACAAATTCTCGAGCCACTGTTAACAGTTCCGATTTTTATCGAAGGAAGTAAACCCAGGTAAAACGTGTAGCGTGATCAATGAATAACGCAAAATAATGGAAGCCCAATCGAGATGTCACCGGCGAGGGACCCCACAAATCAGTATGTATCAACTCAAATGGTTCTGTATAAACAATATCATTGGCAGTAAACGACTTCTGTGAAAGCTTAGCTTGTCTTTTTTTATACAAAAGGGGTTCACCAGGCGTACAAACAATGAACACATTCATGCGAATTATTGCCAGTCAAAGATCCAGATAACCAATGATTCTGAAACATAGTACAAAGTCTCACAGAATTGGGATGTCCCAATCGAAAATGCCACAAATCCCAGTTTGATAATTGAGTCGAATAACCCGAACAAGAAATAACACGTCTACTATTGGAATCATCTACTAAATGCTTTGCAGAAAAAACTGGAGAAGCTGATCCTGCATCACCAAAGTCCACCTCTCCCAACTTCGAGATATGATCCAGCAGATAGACTCGTCCCTTCTTACTCCCTCGCCCTATCTCCTCCCCCAATGTCTTGTCCTGCACGACACATCTAGCTTCATCAAACAAAACCCGACAACCAGCTTCTGCAAATTGACCCACAGAGACCAGATTAGGAACTAGTTTAGGAACGTATAATGTATTCTGAAGGGAGATACGGGGCTTCTCAACACTACCAATTCCATTAACACTCATTCGGGAACCATCTGCAGCTTGAAGATCAAGAGGGGAGTTAGGTTGTCTAAGCCGGGAGAACAACTGATGATCACTAGTCATGTGATCATATGCTGCCGAGTCTAAATGCCAAGTAAGAAATCATACCAGTAGCGAAGGACTCCTTCAGGGCCTCCTAAACAAGCCGGCGCACATCCTCGGGAGCCATACCAGCCGACGTGGAAGTGCCCACCGTAGTCGCATATGCGCTGGCAGGAGGAGGTGGTCGAGAGTTCCCTCGAGGACGAGAGTTCCCATTCCAAGTACGACCACGTTTTGCCAGGGTTGGACACTCGGAAATGAGATGATCCTCAAGCTTGCAATAGTTACAAGTGTTACGTTACTTGCAGTGATATTGGACGTGACCGGGCTCTTTGCAAAAGTGACAAATGATCTCGCCGGAGGAAGTGCGAGTGAACTGCGGACGTCCAGAGTGGACAGCGAAGGCTGCACTAGAGTCCAACGCATGAATGTCTAGTTTAGCCTGACTCTTCAACCTAGTTTCCTCACGCAGAAGCTCCGACAAGACAGCTTCAATGGTGGAGACACCCCGATGGCGAAGAGAAGCCCGAATCCCCTCAAATTCACCACGGAGATTCATAAGAAAATGCATAACCCGTGAGCTAGCACGCTCCTGAAGTACTTCAGTAGACGCGGCTGCCGAAATCAAAGAACTGGTGATAAGATCATGTTCGGTCCAAAGAGTCACGACCTCCTGATAATACGAACTAATATCCGTCTCTTCTTGCTTCAGAGCTGCGAGATCGAACT